GTGCTTTGCTGCTCACACCTGATCCCTCAGCACAGTGGTTTACATGCCAGCCTCTCCCTGAAGCTTGCCCTTTGTCAGGTCTCACTGACCCTCCTTTGTAATCCAGTATGTAATCCAGGCATCAATCTAATTCGTCCATGACTTCTTGTTGCCCCTGCATCCTGCTTCATATAATCCTTAGCAAATAATTACTGGTGATACTCACTGAGCAGATGCCTGGTGCTAAGTACAGTGCTTTCCGTATTGTATCTTTTTAGAGTCAGAGTCTTGCTCTGTCACTCAGGCTGGAGTACAGTGCTGTGATCATAGCTCCCTGAAGTCTCAAATTCCTGTACCCAAATGATCCTCCCACTTCAGCCTCCTGAGTAGCTGTGACTGCATGTGTGTACCACTGTGCCCAGCTAATTAATTAATTAATTATTATTATTATTATTATTTTTGTCTGTGTAGAGACAGGGTCTTGCTCTGTTGTCCAGGCTGGTCTGGAAATCTTGACATCAAGTGATCCTCCCGCCTTGGCCTCCCAAAGTGCTGGGATTACAGATGTGAGTCACCATGCCTGGCTGTTTATCTTATTTAATATTTACAACAGTACTGTTCTCTTCAGTATGTATTAAAACCCTAGTTTTACAGAAGAGGAGACAGGCTGACAGAGGTCAAGCAACTTATTTACCTAGCTAATAAGGGCAGAGGTAGGATTAAAATCTAACACTGTTTTTGACTAGAAAGTGCTGGTTTTTTTTTTTTTTTGGAGGTGGAGTTTCCTTCTATGACCCAGGCTGGAGTGTGGTGACACAATCTCAGCTCATTGCAACCTCCACTCCCGGGTTCAAGTGATCCTCATACCTCAGCCTCCCAAGTAGCTGGGATTACAGGCACCTGCCACCGCACCTGGCTAATATTTGTATTTTTAGTAAAGATGGGGTTTCACCATGTTGTCTAGGCTGGTTTCCAACTGCTGCCTTCACCTCCCAAAGTGCTGGGATTACAGGCATGAGCCACTGCACCCAGCCAGTTCTTAACCATGAAACCACTCTGCCTGTCTTAGTTTCTACTGCTGTAACAAATACCTTAGATTAGCTAATTTATAAACAACAGAAATTCATTTCCTACAGTTCTAGAAGTTGGGAAGTCCAAGATCAAGACACCTATAGATTTTGCCTCTGGCAAGGGCTGCTCTTGGCTTCCAATATGCTGCTTTGTTGCTGCATTTTCACATGGTGGAAGGCAGAAAGACAAAAGGGCCTTGCTAGTTCCTTCCAGCCCTTTTATAATGGTATTAATCCCATCCATGAGGGGAGGAACGCTCATGGACCTAATCAGCTTCTAAAGGCTCCATCTCTTAATACTATCACATTAGAGTCTTAGGTTCCAGTGTATGAATTATTGGGGGCCACATTCAGTCAGACCATATCACCGGCTTACATAAAATACAGAAAGATTGTTTTCATGACAGTCGCTTAAATATTTCACAATGAGTGAAACTGCTGTTGCAAATATTTATTTATTTTTGTTTGTTGCCCTGTATAGAAGGATCCATCTTCAAGTTTTAGTTTTAGGACAAGATTTGTCTTTGCTTGAACTTATATATTTTTCTCCCCTTAGCCAAGGAGAGAATCTTAAAGCTTGGGTTTCCCTAGGCAGCTTGGAGTGAAATTTAGTCCTTAATTGCAGCAGCTGTTTTTAGCTTATTTAGGATAATGTTCTTCCCTTTCTTGAACATGACTTTATATATCTATATGGATGGTTCAATTGCACGTTTTCTTTCCCACTAGACTTTGAGCTTTTTGAATTCAGAGACTAAATGAACTGAATGTGTACCTAATTTTGTAAGCTGCCTTTTTTTTTTTCAGAAGCAAATTATGTTGGTATATCAAGTGGGATTCAGTTGTGACCAGTTTTCTTTGCAAAGTACTCAACATTTATTCTGTGGCTGAACTGGGGCGTGGGTTGGGTATGTTTGCTTGAATATAACATCCTTATTATGACTGTAAAATTTTGTGTAACGAATCCAAAGCTGCAGACAACCAGGTAAAAGGTGACAATAGGAAGATATTTATAAAATGCTGAGAAACTAGAGTGATGCATGGTGGAATGGAAGGAATGCTTTTTGTACCGACCTTAGTGGGTCTTGTTCCAGGTAGCAAATTAGATAAGAACACAGCAGGTGTCTTTCCATGCTTCTGAAGACTTAAACATTGGTTAAGATAGCAGCTGGTGAGGCTCATCTAGTGAGGCTTAGCTAACAAATTAGATAATATCAGAGCAGGTGTCTTCCCATGTTTATGAAGACTTAAACATGTTAAGATAACAGCTGGTGAGGCTCACTGCATGTAGGACTGGTGCTGAGGGTGAAGTTGAAATCACACAAGAAGTGTTAGCCAGGGTTGACATCTCATTTTTTGGACCATGGATGTCTCAGTCTGTTTTGTGCTGCTATAACAGAGTACCTGAGACTGGGTTGTTTACAAAGAGCAAAGATTTGTTTCTTACAGCTCTGCAGGCTGGGAAGTCCAAGGGCAAGAGTCCTCCATCTTTCAGGGGCCTTCTTGCTGTGTTGTCCTGTAGCACAAGAGGAAGAGAGCATGAGTGTTATTAGAGAATGAAAGAGACAGAGAAGGGAAAGAGGCTGAATTCTTTTTTTTTTTTTTGAGACACTCTTGTTGCCCAGGTTGGAGAGCAATGGTGCGGTTTCAGCTCACTGCAACCTCTGCTTCCTGGGTTCAAGCAGTTCTTCTGCCTCAGCCTCCCGAGTAGCTGGGATTACAGGTGTGCACTACCACGCCCAGCTAATTTTTTGTATTTTTAGTAGAGATGGGGTTTCACCATGTTGGCTAGGCTGGTCTCGAACTTCTGACCTCAGGTGATCTACCTGCCTAGGTCTCCTAAAGTGCTGGGATTACAGGCATAAGCCACTGCAGCCAACTGAACTCATCCCTTTATCAGGAACTCACTCCTGTGATAGGTAACCTACACCTGCAATAACAGCATTCATTCTGCCCTCATGACCTACTCACCTCTCAGAGGTCCCACCTCTCGACACTGTAGCATTGGGGATTAAGTTTCTGACACATAAAATTTGGGGGAGACATTCACATTATGGCAGTGGGTATCAGTCCATACTCAAATGACCATGACACACAGTCCCAAGAAATCAGGATTGGCCTTAAGGAAAAGATAGAGTAGTCTTAATTCATATATGCGATTCTCCCTTTTAAAGCTTTTTCGTCTGAAAATTAACTTGGAGAAGAAAGGAGGTGGTCATCAAAGTGTTCTTCCAGAGAAAGATTCTTGTATTCTGTTTAAATATAAGGATAGATTTGGGAACATCTGACTTGTAACTAGCTGAAGATGTACCCCTTATAATTGGCAAATGTATGTGCCCTTTGTAATCAGTATCATGCCATTTGCGATTGTCCTGTGGATGTACATGTTGTTAGCCATGGAAAGAGTTAAGGGCGAAGGGATGGGTTGCAAGCTGACAGTTGGTTCTTGCCTCAGCCATGTGTCTGTTTTACTTTTTGGGGCCCCGAGCATTTGGGAGAGTTGTTCCAGTTGTTGTGATGAGCAAAAAGCACCTTTGATAGAAATAGAGAAACCAGGAAGTGTAGCCTACTTTGTAGGAAGATAATTAATTCATTTTTAGACGTTTTGAGTTTGAAATGAGGGTTTGACATCCGGGTGGAAATGTCTGGCGCTTAGCTGGGGCTGCTTAATGGAAATAGCATGTAGGATGCTGGAGTTCTAGAACAACTTCTGTCACTAACTGGCTTTGTGCTCCTGGTTAAACCTTTTAATTTTCAGGGGTTTCACAGGTTGAGTGCTGCCCAGTTTACCTTCCAGAAGCTCTGATACAAAGGTGTTCTCTACCCACTCCTTGTGATTGACTCCCTGTGCTTCCTGCCTATTGGCCCTAATTCTGCTTAGAGGTTTATCCATACTCTTAATCCCCCTTGCTAGATGGGGAAGCAGAATATGAAGCATTTGGCGTCTTGTTCAAAGTCATGGAGAGCATCATTGGACAAGTTGGGCCAGGAGCTGTGCTCTTTCTGCTTTAGAGATGATCATCTTCCCAGCTGCCTTTCCTCTTTCTTGTCTTTGCTTGCTCTTCCATTCTCTTCCATTGTCTTTGCTGTCCTTTTATCTCACATCTCTTTTTTCATAGCCTTGACCCTCCAGTCAGTCTTGCATTAGTGGAAACTTCTAAGCCCCACTGATGACCATCTGGGTGCAGGAGCTTTTTTCTATTGGTCTAAAAGGATGCTTTAAATTTGTGTGAGAGTGCTGGAAGCAGCTTCATTGTGGGGCACCTGAAGTCTGCCACGCCCCTTTGCAGCAGGGCAGGTGTGATTAGCATTTCAGAACGTGTGTGATTAGCATTTTAGAATGTGTGTGCTCACACACCACTCATGTAAGCAGCATCTGCATCTTAACCAGGCTTGACAGCTGCTTCTTGAGATGCAGACCATTGCATGTACTTACTTAGAGCTTGGGCATTTCCTACCTGTTTTGAGTGCTGTGTGAGTGCAACGTCTGTATTATCTGGGAGAAATGAGACACTTGGATCTCTGCTTGATCACAGCCAAGACATGTAGTCCCTGGGCATGCCAACACTTCTGGGATTCTCAGTCCTTTCTTACAAGCATCAAGTGAGAATTTATCAGGCCAAGGAAAGGAGTCAAGGGTGTTGCCATTTGCATAAAGAGATAGTTTCATGGTAATGTGGTGTGCCATGATTAACAAGGACAACATGGTTCAAATTCATAATTAAATGGGGAAAATGAAGTAAGATGCACAGTGAAGAAATGGGAAGAACCTGAGTTCCTTTGGAAATTGCCCAGGTCATTGCGACCCTGGAAATATCCTGACTTTCCCACTAGAAATATTGTTATTTTTACAATGACACCGGCCATCTGAAAATCAGATGGTCCTTTAAGAAAGGAAAGGAAGAATGAATGATGATGTCTTTCTTTTCCCCTCCCCTGTTCTCTTTTGGGCAGGGAAAAGATGCCGTTCCACCATGTGACCGCTGGCTTGTTGTACAAGGGGAATTACCTCAACCGATCACTCTCTGCTGGCAGTGACAGCGAACAGCTGGCTAATATCTCCGTGGAGGAGCTCGATGGTAAGGAGCCTACCCTGTTTAGGGGGTTGTCCCCCCTCCCAGGGAGGTGTTTGTGGCTATTCTGAAGCTCAATTGAATGCCCTGGACTTTGGCTACTCTTTGGCAGTTGTGGCCAAGTGTAACTATGGCGTGATGGGAAAGAGTTCAGAGACAAAATTTTACCCAAGTGACTTTTGTGTGTGTGTGTGGGACAGATCTGATAGCCTGAACAATCTATGGTGGATATTTCGGTTTTCTTGGATATTGACTAGGGGGATAGCCTTCACCTCTCTTAAAATGTGTTTTCCAATTTCCGGAGTCTTTATCACCAATGGAATTGTCTTGTTTCTATGTTGTCACCAACAATAGAGTCCATCTGCAGGGGAGGTTTAAGCCCTGTTAATGGCTGTCTCTTGACTTCTGGCCATGGTGCTTTGAATCCTGCCTGAATCGGAATCATCTGGAAGCTCTGTCTAGGTGGCAATGGATAGCAATTATTTTAATTGCCTCTGTTTCTTTGTAACACAGTACAGCCCTAACTGCTCAAGGCAGGAGTTAGGGATGGACATAAACCTGGGAACATGATGACTAAATTCATCCTAGAACTCTGTCTCAGTGTATCTTGGATAAACCAATCCTCTAATTAAAAAAAATTAAAAATAGGAAAAACAAGTTTTTTTTTTTTTTTCTTCCTGGAATAGAGAATTAGGTTGATTTAGCCTGATGTTTTTACCTAGGTACTGCATCTGCTGAGGTCAAACCAGAATCAGTTTTCCCCAGTGTTTTTGAATACTTTGTTGCTTGTAATAATACCATTTTAAAGCACAAGGTTTAAATTTACTTTCTCAAGTAGAGAAGTAAAAATTACCCCAGATGGCCCACATATTTGCTTTTAAGTGTAATGGTTCAAATCAATGTGCTTTGTATGTGCACATTAGGGAGCCTCATTTCTCCCAGAAGGCAGGTGGAGGACATTTAACTCTGAGACAGTGAAGCCAAACTTGCTTCACAACAGGCAGGAGGTGAGGGAGGTGAAGGGGAGAGGCCATTGAATAGCTTCTCTTTCTGTCATCATTTTGCTTGTGTGCTTATTTAAATGCTTGCTTAATTACATAAATGAGGAGGGAGGCAGCAGAGGATGTGGCCCTGGTAGGCTGGGTCCAAGGAGAGTCTGGGGGATGTTTGAAGAAGTGTAGTGATGGGGGCAGAGTCAAGATTCCTAGGGATAGCAGCTGCTTAGTGTGGTCTGGACAAAGACTGGTGGTCTGAGAGGAGATCAGGGACCCTTACATCTTCTGGTCTTCAGTTGAGCAAAAGGTATGCTGATATAGGACACAGAAGTGGGAAATTGAGCTCTGACCTCCTCCAGAGTGAGCCCATAAAGGCGACCACAGATCAGGCTGAGGTTGCCCTTGGGTGGTATCTTGGTCTGTTCAGGCTGCTTTAACAAGACACCATAGACTAGGTGGCTCATAAAGAACAGAAATTTATTTTTCACAGTTTGGGAGGCTTGGAAGTCTAAGATCAAGGTGCCAGTAGATTTGATGTCTGGGGAGGGCCACTTTCTGATTCATAGATGTCACCTTCTTGCTATGTCCTCAGATGGTGGAGAGAGTGAATAAGTTCTTTTGGGCCTTGAGTATATAAGGGCACTGTCTTAGTCTGCTTTGTGTTGCTATAACAACATAGTATGTTCTGGGTAATTTATACAGAAAAGAAGTATATTTGGCTGATGGTTCTGAAGACTGGGAAGTCCAAGTGCATAGCACCGGTATCTGGTGAGGGCCTTCATGCTGTTTCATCCTGTGACAGAAGGTGGAAAGGTGAGAGAGGGTAAGAACAAGAAAGCCAGAGAGGACTAAACTCACTTTTATAATAATCCATGCTCTGGATAATGAACTTCCCCCTGAGATAATGACATTAATCCATTCATGAGGGCAGATCTTTCATAGTCTAATCACATCTTAACCATCTCACCTCTTAGCACTGTCAATGCCAATTAAATGTCAATGTGAGATTTGGAAGGGACATTCAAACCATAGCAGGCACTAATCCCATTCATGAGGGCTTTTTCCTCCTAATCACCTCCTGAAAGACCTCACTTCTTAATGACATCACGTTGTTGATTAGGTTTCCACATATGCATTTTGGGGGGACCCAAACATTCAGCTCATAGGGGGTGTGTTTGGGAGGTGAAGTGAGGCCCTGGCTTTTCCTACCTATGGGAGTCTTCAATGTGAATGGATATTAGGGCAGGTGGTGCATTAATGTGGGGTGGATGTTTGCTTGTGTTTATTTGAGTAGATCCCTGAGGCTCCGTCATCAGTTAGCAGGAGGGACTGGGAGTCCCCCATGCATGCAGGACCCACTGAGTGGCCCTGGCTGAGAACTGGGTAACGCTATCTATATGTTTTGGAGAATTCTTTAAGAGGTTAAAAATCACTAACCAAATGGAGTTTGGAAATCATCCATGGCTTCCCATATTCTCCCCACTTCCTGCTTCCCAACTTTGCCATGAATGATTAGGAGATGATTTCTCTGTGACTTCTCAGCGCAATGGCTTTTTTTCACTGTTAAATTCAATCTCTGCTAAGGAAACTGTTCAGGGCCACTGTGGAGGTGCATGGCTTTTCAAGAGGGCTGCTGGCTGGATTTCAATCCTCCTTTCCCTACTTGGGTGCCCTGCTGAAATTGCCCTCCACTTTCTTGGCCAAACAGAAAAGCATATAAACTTGCTATTTTAATCAGGCAAAGGCAGCTTGAGAAGGACTGAAATGCACTTTTTCAGTATGTAGATTAGTAGGAGTAATTCTAAGAGCCCTCCAAGACCAGGCTGGCAGCCTGAGCATTGGCAACCTTGGGGTATTTTATTGAGTGAAGTGGGGGCTTTGTAAAGACCCGAGATTGGCTGGGTGAAGATGCCGTGTTTGTCCTTCAGGAGGGTAATCCAGGCTCTCAACCTGGGGAAGGGCCATTTATTTTCTGACGGAAGATTCATTCCACTTATTTATTTAGTTTTTGCCAAGGTGAACACTGAGTTATGACTGCTCCTGGTTTATTACAAGTATCTCGGGGCTCCGGGCAGTACAGTGCAGATGTGTTTGGAGTTTAGAGCAGGCACGCAGGGTCTGGAAACCAACTGGCTTGAATCAATTCAGATGACTATAGATTGGTCTTGGGGAAGTCAGTTTCCAGGGCAGTTTGCTTGCTGTTCTCAGGCTGCTTCATGGCATGGTGACCCTAAAGTTCTGCTGGTTGGGGGCACTCATTTACCCTCAGAAGACAGGTGGTGCTGCGCTGGGAGGTTGATGTGTTGGACACTGATGAACATCGCAGCATCCTTCGTGGTCTGGCCGCCTTGAGCATAGGCATTAGTTGGGTGCTATCCTTATCTGCTCTCTACCTCTCCACCCTGTAGTCACTGCAGCCTTCTGCTTGTGAATGGCTACACTTTCCCCACCTGTTCGTGTTTATCACCAATGATGGAAAATCCCTTTCCTCCAGTGTAAGGGCCAAAGGCATGCACTTCATGAATGGTTATCCTCTGAAAACAGGCATGAAAAGGACCACTTGCCATGCGGGTCATTTTCAACTGCAGTTCCCTTCTGGAAAGTTTCTATTTCTTCTCTTTAAACAAAGCTCAGGAGAGAAACATGCAAAGCTGAATCAAAATGATCAAAGTTGGGAATCACCCAACCAAACTCACTGAAGGTGGATTGATGGAGAGTCATTCATTCATTCATCCATTTTTATTCATTCGTTAAAAGGATGTTTAGTAGGTGGAGGAGGAAATGCCTTCTAGGTAGTAGAGGAAGATCAAATAAGCATAATATTCATTGCCTCTTTCCAAGGAGCTTACATCTATCCAGGAAGTTTATGCATATACCAGATTTATTAGCAACATCTTATACTTTTAGAGTGCATTATAAGGAATTCTATTAGATATATGCAGTGTGATTGTTGAATAGTTTTCTTAATGCTATTTATTGAATAATCTCATGATGCTTTTTTTTTTTTTTTTTTTTGAGACAACAGAGTCTCACTCTGTCACCCAAGCTGGAGTGCAGTGGCACGATCTTTGCTCACTGCAACCTCCGTCTCCCAGGTTCAAGCTATTCTCCTGCCTCAGCCCCCCAAGTAGCTGGGATTACAGGCATGTACCGCCACACCTGACTAATTTTTGTATTTTTAGTAGAGACAGGGTTTCACCAGGTTGGCCAGGCTGGTATTGAACTCCTGACCTCAAGTGATCCACCCACCTTGGCCTCCCAAAGTGCTGGAATTACAGTTGGGAGCCTCTGTGCTTGGCCTTGTAATGCTATCTTAATCTTAAACTAAATTCACCTCCATCTGAAGTTTACCTGTTTCCTTTAATATATAATTTCCATTGTATATAAATATATCTTATTTTCCTATTTTATTCTCAATGGATATTTGGGTTGTTTCCAGTTTGTATTAGGAAATAGCTATTAGCCATCTTCCAGTTTGTGAAAATCTCTTCTGTTTCTGGTCATAAATTATTTATATATATATTCATAATAAAAGTCTTTTTCTCCAAGTCTTCCAGATGACAGTATCTTTCTTTTGCATGAAATTTTTTTTGTGTATAATTTATATTGCTTTTTTCTATTGTGTTTTGTAACTCAACACTATGACTTTTTTTGTAGGCTCAGTATTTGTCAGTAAACAAGGTGTATAAAGAGTCTAGCTTTGGCCAGGCACAGTGGCTCATGCCTGTAATCCCAGCACTTTGGGAGGCTGAGGCAGGAAGATCACGTGAGGCCAGGAGTTGGAGACCAGCCTGGGCAACATAGGGAGACCCTGTCTCTACAAAAAATTAGCTGGATGTGGTGGTGCATGCCTATAGTCCCTGCCACTTGGGAGGCTGAGGATTGCCTGAGCCCAGGAGTTTGAGGCTACTGTAGGCTATGATTGTACCACTGCACTTGCACTTGAGCCTTGGTGACAAAGAAAGACCCTGTCTCTAGGGGAAAAAAAAAAAAAAAGAATCTTGCCTTCTT